GTAACAAGTCCGCCTTTATTTCTGTTACTGGGGCAATTAGTTCACTCATAAGTTCTTTAAGATTCTCTCCTTTGTTCTCTGGCACCCCCTGGAAGTGTAGGACCATATTGGCCTTATCCATTTGTACTTGAAGCATTTGATCTTCCAAAGAAGAAGTTTTATTTTCCAATTTTTGCACTTTCTTCTTCACTTTCTGCGTTGATTCAGCTACTTTCTTTACTTTCTCAGCATCCTGATTCATTACTTGAATCAGATCAGTTATTTGCGTTTGTTGTGCAGAAATGCTCTGTGTTACCACGGACATCTGCTCTGTGAAGTTATTCAGCTGATCCAGTAGAGGGCGCATGAACTCAGCTATAGCCTTTGCCGTCTCACTGGTCGTTTCCGGCTTAGGGGACTCTGGTTTCGTTTTCAAAAGTCTGTCTTTGTCTTTGTCCCTCTTCCCCGCCATCTTTTTCCCGTTTTACTTTCGGAAAGTTTTTTAAGTCTCTGAATATGCACTTGACTGCTTAGCTCGATTGGGTAAGTACTTCTGGGCAATTTAATCGCGTTTCTCTTCTGCCCCCCCCTTCGCTCAACAGTTTATGTGCATGGGAGGCGTCCCCCCCGCTCGCTTTTCCCGTTCCGCGGAGTAGGTTAGGGAGCATCTTTTCTTTCAAAAATCGTTTTCCAGTTGACTCACGTTCATAGTTGGCCTTTCGACCACACTTCTTTCATCATTTTTCACGCCTGATCTCCTGCGCTTGCCCCGGTTAGCTTCACTTGTACCATTCGGTCTCTCGGCTGGAGGAACCACTGGAGCGAAGGGGCACCTCAATTCTCTGGCATTCTGCCATTGAAGAGGCTACCCCTCAGAGCTGCTTGGCCAGGGTCCCTTTGCTGGGCCCCTTGGGGGGGTTTACAAGCCTGCTCACCCCCTCCTTCCGCCGGAGCACAGAGACACCCCCAGGAGGTCTGGGAGGTGAGTCCGTGAGCATGCCGCCATCAACCGGAAGTCAGGTGGGCGATTCCTGAAGGTGTAATTTTTAAAATCAAGGGCAAAAGAGAGAAGATTGACTCCATCTTTAAAGCTAAGGAATTTTTGAGATGTCAGCTCGGGCCGGAAGAAGAACGTAAAGATGAAGAATCCAAGTCAAGTGACTCTGTTACTTCGGGAGCGGACGAGGACTCTGTGGGGGAAGCGGGTGCGAGAGCGGGAGCAACGAAAACTGTATATGATTTTAGGGATAGAAAACCGAAGTAGGGCAGAAGGACTCTGTAAATTGCTCTTTGAAGTAAAGAAAATGCTCAAGAAGTACTCTCACAAAGATTAACTTACTAATGTAGAAGATATGTTAAACAAGAACCTCACAAGTATATTGTATCACTAACACTTGTTTTACTAACATTTATATTAACATGGAAAGGATCTCCTACTCTTGGGTTTTTAGTTAGTGTGGGTATCTTTCCTTTATCCTTAGATGTAGTCCCCCCTCCCTATATTTTTCGTTGTAGTTAATAGTCTATGAAAAATAATAAAAATACCCCTTTGGGGGTTTCAAAAAAAGAAGAAGAAGAAGAAGAAGAAAATCCCCAATGGAAGGACTCCTTCACC